ATTACACAGAATGACTGATAGTGCAATGTCTTCAGTTGTTAAATTTTTTGCTTCTTCTCTGAAACCATCAGCAATTCCTTCATCCATTCTCGGCATAGGCGGTCCTCTCAGATTGTGTAATTTACAGGTTTCTATTTTTAGTCTTCATGTGGTGTTGAAAGGTTGGCACTGACACTTTCATGATATTTGAGTTTATCATGCTGTTCTTACATGGGAAATAGTGCAAGTATTGTTTTTGTTACCATAAGCATGATGTGAGTGCCCTTTATGTGTTTGATTAGTGTGTGGTGAGGTTTGTGACGTCAACGATTTGATTTTAGATTGCAAAGATGGAAAAGACGTGTGAATGATAAATGTCACATCATGTATTTGGATAATGCAATGTTTCTTCATCTTCATTGGACTCTTGAATACTGTAAAACATGTCTTTTTCATGAGCATGTCTTTTTAACAAATTTAGCAAAGAACTAATTCGCTAATTTAAGATGTCGCTAATGAATTCATTATAAATTCAAAATGGCCGCCAAACAACGTCTTTTTCTCCTCACACACACTTTGTAAACAACACAGAAAACGTAATAATCTGGAGCGCTTCCTTATTACACTTGACAGTTTTTCTTAGTTTTCATGGAGGTGCTAACTGCGCACTTTACCGCAATTCGCTAAAATAGTATGTCTCTTTTTCAACATGTTTTGCAGTATGTGGTTGATAAGGGGTTTCCCACATGAAAGATGGTGTGATTTGGTTTTTTTGCAAAAATGTTATTCACATTTTTCTCAATCCTACATTATGCAAGTAATGAATTTTTTTGTCTTCAACCACATTGTTGTCGCCGTAAAATCTTATACTTATATCATGTACTTATCCTATGTAAATCTTTTTACACTGAGGCAATAAAGTTATTATTTTTATTATTATTATATTCAAACACCCCACATAACACTCCCAACACCCCTAATTTTCAGACCCCTAAATTGAAAGAAAAAAGAAAAAAGACTTTTGTATTTTTTTGGTGTTGAAACAAAATTGGCATGCAACTGTTTTCAGTTTTGATGTTAACTGTGTTGATGCATAGTCCTTATCCTGTGTACAGTGGAGAAATTCAAAAATGTGTTTTTACAAGAGTTACTCATTCTATCATGGCTTGTGCTTGATTAAAATCTTTGCTAGGTTTATTGAGTTTCCCCCAGAGTAATTTACATCTTTCCCTGTGGCAGGAAGATGCTATACAGACCTGTAGCTTAATAGAATGTAATCCCTATAGTATATTTCCTATGATTCAAGTCGCAATGCTCTCAGATTTAAATTACTCAGCTCGTAGATTCCCTGTGGAGCTGATATTCCAGCATACTGTGAATTTTACCAGAGACAATTTATAGGAATTTTTTTGATCCGGAAGGTATCACCATAAAATTTACTTGGTGAAAAAAAATTGGGAATTTTTTGATCGATTGTTCGTACTTCTTTACAAATGGCGGTAGTATCTTCATTAAATTCTGAAATCGCCTGGCAGGTAGACTGCGTGAGCTGACTTCATGAAAAATCAATACACTTTTCCGATAAGTGCACCCTCTAACAATGAATAATTTCTCTTTTCAAAATTGCGCTGTCTAGCAACAAATCAGTATGCGTCTTAGATGGGTGTAAGAAAGGCTTGTTTTTATCCTGTTTATTAAGTTTTGGAAATATTTACCATATTTTAAATGACTACACAACAGTTGTCGCTTTGAACAACATTGTGTTCATTCATCTATGTCGTTTCTACATCATAGCAGTGCTTCCTTGCTTGAGGGCGCAATTTACAGGAATGGGGATTCCTAAAAAAAATTTCCAGAAGTTTAATTTAAATGCATTTATACAAAACTTCCATATTCAACTTCATTACAAATGGCACATATTGTAGTACAAAACAAAGGTGTAATGCATGTGATGTAAAAACTTGCCAATGTACATTCATTATTGATGTACCCATACCATATCTTCTTTTATGTT